ATTTTCTAAATATTTAGATTTATTTGGAACTTATTTATTTTTGTTCATATCTTGTTATTGCCTATATTGAAACACTGAGAACATGACAAATAATATTCAAATAACTCAATAAAGAGCACCAAAAGATAGATAAGATCTTTAGGGAAAAAATTAGTACCGGCTCCACTTTTTTGATTTAAAATGAATTATTGATGAATTTTTAGATATTAAACTATTTTTTACTATTCTCAAAAAATAGAAACCCACTTTGAATCGCTAGAGGATCAAATTTTCTTAGTTTTAATAGTTAGTTTAGTGTTGAAAATCAAATTACGGTGCAAATTGAAGGATAAAAATGGATTTTACCCTATATATATTGGTGTTAGTGAATTTTTTTAAAAAGATCTGGTTGCCCAGTTGGCTTATTACATAACGGAGAAAAACAGAGAATCAGCATGTCCTTACAAAAGCGTGAGTGGCGCTACCCCCTTGGCTTGCCACGGGTTAATAAAGAGCAAAAAAGATATTAATTAATTACTCGCCAAATGAGTTGCTACCTTAAGGGCCTAAGGATCCCCCGCTGAACATCAATGTGCGCAGGTGTCCTTGATCTCTGCTAAGACTGCCCGGGTTGTGCGCCTAGAGTCTCCGAAGGTCCTCACATTTCTCTGTTTCCAGATACACAAAAGCGTCAAAATTGCTAGGGTGTACATTGCCTTGGAGCCGCTTGTGTCATAGGCAGAAACCATTCTTCAAGATCCAACACATCGGTCTATTGCGACGGGTGTAGGTTGGGACGGCGGCTCCATATTGCGACCCGTTTTCAAATAATAGCTGGTTCGCTTGGTCGTAAACGATCGTGGATTATAAGTTAGAACAATATTTTTCTTTTACACCAAACCAGCCAGTAGTTATAATCTACGACGATCAAGCTGTATATGAGAAGGGCATCCGCTAAAAAGGTACGTGGCAGTCTCTAGATTCCTCATACACAGTGCACAGAAATAATTGTTTTCCCATTCTCTTAGTTGTAGGTGGGCTGTTGTACATAATCTGTCCTGGAGATTTAGCCAGAGGAAGAATTTGCATCTTTTGCGGAGCCCATGCTGTACAGATCGATAGGATAATCTGTCCTCACTAGATTTTTTTTTTGTCTCTAGAGACAAGTGGAAAAGATTGAGCCGTAGAGTTAGGCCATGAATCTCACTTTCTCTTCTACTCTGTCTCTTTCCATTTCTTATCATATGAATTTGACGTTGGTCTATACTTAAGACTTGAAAAGTGATGGAATATTAAATTCTAAGCCAAATAATCTGTTCATGAAGTAGATTTCAATTCAGCCCAAATGTGAGATCCAAACGGGCCCTTAGTAAATAACTTCTTTGACACAAAACTGGTGTTAATTATCAAAATCGTATTCAAATGTACTTTTCCTTATGATTTTGATTATATTGGGTACCATATAAATGACATATCAGTGAAATTATTGTTGGCTAAAGCTTTATTCTAAAGAAGCAAAAAATTTCTTGTATTTTAATTAGGACGGAATAGTAATACTCTACATGATCAGCTCACTAGCTTGCCACAAGAGGGGGAGTTCGCTCGATACTATAGTACTGTATGTTGTCTTATCTTCTCTCGTTTGTAAGCTTTTACTCTATGATTTTTAGTATTTATTATATAACTAGGTAGCGTGTCCGTGCGTTGTTATGGGATAACTAATAATTTATACTAAAAATACACGGATCGCACGATAAAATAATAATACTGTTAAATTAAATACCAACGTTAAAGTGACATTTAATCCAAAAAGCAAAGTTTATAAATTTAACATAGTCATGGAGTGCGCGGCGTCGCAGCCTTCACAAACTCTAGAGCTTCCAGAGATTTGGTCAAATCCAACCTAAAGCCTCGGAACCCTGCATCTTTTTCTGGACGGGCTTCACTTCGGATGTGCCGGTAGCAATATCAACGATCTCCGGTCGATGGACCAAGTCGTATGGATCCCCATATAATGGCTCAGACATGTAGATTTTGTTCTCTTTGTACTTGGATACACTTGTTCCACTGAAGCTTTCATTGAAATGTTTAGACACAAACAGTGTCTGATCACCGATGTCCCTCACCCTGGACCACTCCAGCGTACGGTCGTGTAGGTTACACTTGTAGATCGCGCTGCTGTAGGTGAAGCTCTGTGTCTCGTGGAATGTGCTCACCATGGCACCCCCAATGTGCAGCTCACCGTTTGATTCCAGATAGCTGCGGTGGCAGAGCCCCGCAGGTGGCGACAACGATGGCAGCAGCGTCGCGGTTGGAGTAGCGCCAGTGGCGTTGCTGCTATAGACGGAGATTTCTCCAGTGCAGTCGATCGCCAAGAACTTGTCTTGGCAGTGGACAATGGACCCCACGGAGAACTCCAGTTTGGTGTCGAGCAGCGTCCATGTGCTGTCGACTCCAACCCGGCAGAACGCGACCTCCGTGGAGCACCCAAGCATGGCCATGGCCACGCACTCGTGGCCGGCGACGTCTGGCGGCGCCGAGAGCATGATCTCACGGAAGAACACGTCCCTCATGTCTTCTAGCTTGATGGCTCTGCCTGCGGCATCCGCATCCCCGTAACCGTTGGTGGGATGGAGGACCCACCGGCCGTGGACCCTAGACACGCGTTCTGATAAGGACGCCGCCGAGACATGTTCACCTGCTGGCGGGAGCTCAACGCGGGGGGCACGGGCACCGGCAAATGGATTCAGCAACATCACGGACGTCGCCTCGTCCATGAGCGCCAGCCACCCACACGAGGGGCCACACGCCACCTTGCCGCGCACGTCGGGCAGCGTCTTGGACAAGACCTTCTTTTCCGGGACGCAGTAGAAGCCGACGCAGTCCGAGTCGGGGTCGAACAGGAGCAGCAAAAGTGGCCCGAAGGTCGCGAACAGGACGGCGGCGCGCCATGGAGAGCAAGCGGATCGAAAGGACGCCGCGTCGTGGCCTGACGCGAGACGCTGCCCGATGGACTCGAGGAGATCCTCTGGCAGGCCGGATCTCTAGTCAGGGAGAGGTAGTGACCTTCTCTTGGGACTGAGAGGCTGAGCCATGGAAGACAGATGACATCAACTATGGTTCACGCAAGAAACAGCAAGCGAGGGCGATAGAACACGTGAGCGTGAAACCAAATGAAATGAAAAAAAAAGCTGTCCCTTTTGCAAATGCAAAGAGAAGTAATTAAATGTAGGCAGATTTGGCAAGGTTCTCAGAAATGCAAAGAGGTTCCTTTTGTCTTAATTCTCTTTCCTTCTATGTTAATTTTCTTTCCTTTTGCTCGTTGTCATGTATGCTGATGCATGCAAACATGCAATGTGTATATGGATAGCACAATAATTTTTACTTCCTATTTTACCGTGATTCCTCTATCACATGACAGACAATATTCAATCAAGGAGAATGGCACAATCAATCAGTAATTAAGATGTCGTGGGATCACAGGCGTGGGCAGACGGACAAACCAAAACAAATGTCGCACCAAAAAATATCAACACTTTATTCTTTTTAGTTGTAGAGATAAGCCACCATGTAAATTCTTAGAATCTAGAATTTTTCAGACTAATAAAAATAAAATAAAATAAAATAAAATAAAGGTACACCTCCCTTCGTCCCTAAATAAATCGATTCATAGAGTTCTATTATGTCAAACTTTTTTATGTTTAACGAAATCTGTAGAAAAGAAGGCAAATAATTATAACACCAAATGAGCTTATTATAAAAATATATTTTATGGTGTATGTGTATCTAATTATACTAATTTGGTTTCATAAATCTTGAATTTTTTGCTTAATTTAATCAAACTTAAAAAGGTTAACTTAAGACAACTCTAAAAATCAATTTAATCGGGAAGACCATTACAAAAAAAAAATCCATAAATTACCTATTTATCTATCACCAAAACATGACAGTTTTACAAAGAATACCTTATTTATGTTGGCTATAAATGATTGAATCTTTGTCTTAGAATAAAATCAGGTTAAAAGTGCAATTCAGAATTGTCTTTCGATAATAAATATAATAGAAAAACAAACAGAGTTAAATATGAGAGTTTAAAAAATAAGCATATATAGAAAAAGTTCAAAACATAAGAGCAAATAATGTCAACAACGCTATGCAACTAAGGAAGACATAATACGCAGATCCAATAATAAAACTTTGACATTTGTTTTTTTTTCGCGAACGTGCATCTTGCCCGTATTTCATTAAGAGGGTAGAGAACTTTGACATTTGGTCATCAAAAGGAACACCGATGGAGCCACTGATACACGAAATAGGATGTAGAGATGAATTGTACAATACTAGGATATAAGCTACTGTGGCAACCTTGAGCCCATAAATATAGAGCTCAAGGTTAGCCATTAACCAACCAATAAACAAAACAACTATTTCTGGTGGTAATAAATGTTGATGAAATCATTAACTTTAGAACATGTCCATAATGATATATTTATCACAAGCGACACCAACTTCATCCACGTCCAAGCGAGCATACGATGCCATTTTCACAGGGAACTTGACATTGAGCCAAGTTGCAGCTCTGACAAGTTGTTTCCGACGACAAACAATAGGGATGGTAGAAGAGCCGCTCGTACCCTGGCGTGCTCTTCTCGGATAACGTAGTAGGAGCACGCAGATCGCAACTTGGTTTTGTACCATTTATGTAATATCCAAATTTGAATTTGTATACTAGGAAGGTCAACATGTAGACCTCCTGGAGCGCGCGTGTGTCGTTTGTATCTTAATTACAATGATATGTAAATCTTTTGTGTATTCGAGAAAAAGATGTACTAACGATGCAATTGCAATAATTTGAAAATGAACAGTCCATACAGTAAACCTATCATCACACTCCAACTTGCAGTGTGAGGTTACATTTCAATAAATCTAGCTAGAGAAGCTAAACACAATGATCTTCCATGAAGGCTAGCAACACCTACATGCCTACAAGTAAATGACAAATACGTCAAACAGCGTCACAGCTAGAAAAGAAGAGCTTTATTCGTTCGATTTCTTTTTGAAAGAAGAATTATTGGTTCATCTATGTCTGCTGCAGGAGCATGGCATACATGATGTGGTTCCACGCGTCCGGGAGTCCGGCGATGCACCAGTGCGTCCAGTCCATGCCATGCCGCCCCGCCCCGCCGTGGGTGCGCGTCGATCCTGAGCTGCGACAGCGCGGTGATGTCCAGCAGCGACACCGGCGCCGTCATGGCGTCGATGACGCCCCGCACCACGGCCTGCACCGGGGCCAGGCTTGTCGTGCCCCCGCCGGCCGCGTCCGTGGCTTCCTGCAGCGGCCGCGTCTGCTTCAGGCAGCTGCCTCCGCCTCCCGCTGGTGCCGTCCCTGCTTGGCTCTCCTGCTGCTTCGACCTACATACACACAATATTCCAGTTTGTTTGCACGCGAGATCAGAGACGGATACAGGGTCTGCATCGGCTGGTGGGAACAGATCTCTGAGCTCACGCACATGTAGTGGCTCGGGGAGATGCCCTGGTAGAAGACCCTGGACCCTGGTTTTGGAGGCGTCGACGTTGGCATCGACCCAGCGCGCCCATGTGGAGAGCGCCTTTTGGAGAAGGCCGTCAGCCGGTCCATGGCCCGGTACGTGCTCTTCCCGTCCTGCACGTAGTCCCACCTGCACGCACGCAGAGCATGGCATTATTGGCTTCGATGAACACAACAGTGGTAGCTTCTGGTTGTGGCGATCGACCACATACACTTGGCTGGCGCTCCTGTAGGTCCACCAGTGCCATGTGTTGAAGACGAGCAGGTGCGCGCCGAGCCACTCGCTGGCGTTCCGCATGGAGTCCAGCTTGAGCACCCGGCCGATGTCCTCCTGCACGACGTCCACTAGGAACGTGGTGTGGTACAGCACCAGTCCTGACGACAAATTAAGCAGATCAGGCGCAGAGCCGCAGAGCTAGTTGTTGAATGTGGACACGGTACATCCGATCCGGACGAGAGCTAGGCACAGCTAACCTCGAAGCGCACGGCCGAGACAGGCTCGCCGCTGGTGAAGGTGGCGCGGACGGGAGCGGCGGCAGTGGCGGCAGCGTGGAGCATGCAGGCGAGGGACACCCACTGGTTCATGCTCAGCGAGTCCCCCACGAACATCACCGTCTTCCCGCGCCACCTCCTCAGGAAATCGGCGCTGTCAAACCTACATATATATATAGAGAGAGAGTGAGTGAGTTGTGCAGCGATTCAGCACTTTATTTGCACTTGGGCATGCAGCTGGTGATGATCCACCTGACCTGGGCAGCCGGCAGTTGGCGGGGCTCCACCGGAACTTGAGGTAGTCGTCGTCGGGGCGGCCGTTGCGGCGGCAGTCGAAGACGTCCGGCACGAACGGGAGGTGGACGCGTCGTACAGCGGGTACGACTTGTCCGCCACCCACCTCCCCCGGAACAGGTCGCAGCCAGCCTGAGCCGAAGCCGATATGATCCCCGCTAGGACGACGATCATCGTGAGCACCCAGCCATGGCAGACCAGACTGGTACGTCTGGACGGCGCCATGTTTAATTTACCCTGCCAGGGGCAACGGCAGTGGCTGCGTCATTATATACAGCGATCGACATGGATCGATCGCTTGGTTTTGAAGCACATATATATCCTACCGCTGCTGTTTCCTAAGCTGCTGCTGCGCGCATTCTCTCGGATCGATCGTTGCGTAGCAAGACCTGCTTGGAGTCTAACTCAAGTTACTCAGCTGGCTATATAGGTAATCTGAATCTTTGTAGGTCCCATTTGGACCCCTGGCCATGTGAAATGTGATGTGAGGGAGAACGGAGTGGACCTGAATTGACCACGGCCCCGCTCATCCGGACGAGACACGTGAACGCTGCGTCCAGCGTGGAATTTTCGTCAAAATAATGTGGAGCGTGGATCTCAGAGTGCTTGGTTCAGTGGGGTTCTAGCGTACAATCGAGGACAGCTAACGTTGTTTAAACACCCACTCTCTTACCTCTAATTATATATTAGCTCTGCCTGCTATGCTACAATGGATGCTTCGTGTTATTCCAGGAAGAGAAAGAAACAACACCTCCTATAGTACGCGCTTCAGTGCTCATGCTAGGTGGAGTCATGCCAAACTGTCTGGAGATCTTGCACTTGGTGTCATGGCTAAAACGCTAATCCATGGGCATCATCCCCGCCAAATCATTTAGAACCGTACCATCACGGAAAAGATGTCGCTATCAGATTTCAGCGATAGTTGATAGAACTCATGCCAGAATTGATAGGGCCTTTTGTACTGCATGTTGGGAAAGCGGTTTCGAACAGGTTTAGGGGAGGAGAGTGGAAAAAGGCGGCTAGGGTTTGTCGACAAGAGTCGGAAGGGGCATTATATAGGTAAGTAGAAATTTACAAACGACCCTCTGGTGGGGGGTGAGTTTCACATGCCACTCCAATAACACTAATTGGTCCTCTTCTAGGAGACTTGGCCCATATGAATATGGCATCTCCCAACAGTGATATGATCCCGCTAGGGTTTATTCCCGATCTTTCGATGAGAGGTGTGGGATAACTCGATTGATGGGTGGAGACGACGTTCACGGCCCGACTACAGCCTTCCAAGCTGCGCCTTAGCAACCGATATACCACCTCCAACAGCTGCCGCGATCTTGTGGAGCGCGATCAACCAAACCACTAGGGTAATTCCTGCAAGCAATCGAGGAACAAGCAAGAACAAGTAGAACAAGCAACTCAATTGCAAATATGGAGATGAAAACCAATCTGAAATCACAAAGTTGGGGTTCTGAATCAAGTAGAACGGATGGTCTAGTCGACACACGCGTCTACAAGAAAGTAGCAATGGCTAAACTTTCAACAAAACAAAACCCCAACTCTTTGTGGCGGCTCTAATCCTTATTAATACCTAGGGGAACGACTAGGGGATGTTGGGGTCATTCTCCAACCCTAGGACACGTCCCTAATGGACCCAACTTGATACATGGGTCATCGGCCCAAAATAGGGTGGCGTCCTCGACTCAAGCTCGTCTTCTTCTCCCAAATATGGCTTCAAATCTGCAATGTTAAATGTGGGGCTAACCCCAAATTCTGCAGGCAGATCGAGTTTATATGCATTATCATTAATTTTCTCTAACACTTTAAATGGTCCATCAGCCCTAGGCATCAATTTAGACTTTCTGAAATCAGGAAACCTATCCTTTCTCAAATGCAACCAAACTAAATCTCTAGGTTCAAATAATAGTTCTTTTCTACCTTTATCACCAGCAAACTTATATTTAGCATTCATACGCTCTATGTTTTCTTTAGTTGTTTCATGCAGTTTTAACATCAATTCAGCACACTTAGTAGCATCAAAATTTAGTTTTTCAGAAGATGGCAAAGGCATCAAATCAATAGGAGCACGAGGCAAGAAACTATATACAATCTGAAATGGGCACATCTTTGTAGTAGAATGAAGCGAACGATTATAAGCAAATTCAATATGAGGCAAATAATGTTCCCACATCTTGATGTTCTTCTTTAGAACAACCCTTAACATAGTAGACAAAGTTCTATTGACAACTTCAGTTTGACCATCGGTTTGGGGATGACATGTAGTAGAAAACAAAAGCTTAGTTCCCAGTTTTACCCATAAAGTTTTTCAAAAATGACTAAGAAATTTAGCATCACGATCAGAAACAATTGTGTTGGGCATACCATGCAAACGGACAATTTCTCGAAAGAACAAATCAGCAATATGAGTAGCATCATCCGTTTTGTGATAGGGTATGAAATGTGCCATCTTAGAAAATCTATCAACAACCACAAACACACTATCACGTCCCTTCCTAGTCCTTGGCAAACCAAACACAAAATCCATAGAAATATCTTCCCAAGGAGCTCTAGGAACAGGTAGAGGCAAATACAAACCATGTGGATTTAACCGTGACTTAGCCTTTTGACATGTAGTGCAACGAGCAACAAACCTCTCCACATCTCTTCTCATCTTTGGCCAAAAGAAATGACCAGCAAGTATCTCCGTTTTCTTAGCTCCAAAATGCCCCATCAAGCCACCTCCATGCGCTTCCTGCAGCAACAACAAACGAATGGATCTAGCTGGAATGCATAGCTTGTTAGCTCTAAACACAAACCCATCACTAAAGATGAATTTGTTCCAACCTTTCCCATCTTTACAATGCAGCAACACATCTTTAAAATCAGCATCATTAATGTATTGGTCCTTAATTGTTTCTAACCCAAAGATTTTGTAATCAAGTTGATTCAGCAAGGTATATCTTCTAGACAAAGCATCAGCAATAATATTCTCTTTCCCTTTCTTGTGCTTAATAACATAAGGAAAAGATTCAATAAATTCAACCCACTTAGCATGTCTACGGTTCAATTTCCCTTGACTACGAATATGCTTCAAAGACTCATGATCAGAATGAATAACAAACTCTTTGGGCCACAAGTAATGCTGCCATGTTTCTAATGTGCGAACAAGAGCATCAATTCCTTATCATAAGTAGAATAATTTAGAACAGGCCCGCTCAATTTTTCACTAAAATACGCAACAGGTTTGCCTTCTTGTAACAAAACACCACCCAGTCCAATTCCGCTAGCATCACATTCAAGCTCAAAAGTCTTATTAAAATCAGGAAGTTGGAGGAGAGGTGCATGTGTCAACTTATCTTTCAACATATTGAAGGAGTTCTCTTGTACTTTGCCCCAACCAAAAGGCACTCCCTTCTTTGTAAGCTCATTCAAAGGGGCAGCAATGGTACTGAAGTCCTTCACAAATCGGCGATAGAAACCAGCAAGTCCTAGGAAACTCCTCACTTGTGTGATAGTCTTTGGTACAGGCCATCCCTATATAGCTTCTACCTTGGCTTGATCAACCTCAATTCCATAACCCTTGTCGAGTAGTTCTTGCACTTGTCGCTGAATTTCCTTTGTTTCTTCCGGATTAGTCCTGTATGGCGCACGGTTTGGCAAAGATGCACCAGGAATAAGATCAATTTGGTGCTCAATCCCTCATATTGGTGGCAGCCCCACTGGTATCTCACTTGGAAAAACATCCGAAAACTCCTGCAAAATGTTAGCAACAGCAGGGGGCAAAGAATGCTGCATATCATGAACTGAAATCAAAGCACCCTTGCATACCAAAGCATAGGCAACAGAAGTGGAAGCAACCAATTCATTAATATCAGATTTAGTAGCAAACAAGCAATGTCCTTTCAATCTTATCTCATCTTTGTTACTACTAACATATTTGACATTTTTATCGATCTCAGATTTAGTTTTCTTAGCTTTAGCAACATCATCACGCACAATAGCTTCAGGAGACATAGGAAACAAAACAATTTTCTTATCATGGTATATGAGAGAATACATATTTGATCTACCATGATGCATACAATCCGTATCAAATTGCCATGGTCTACCTAGCAGAATATGACAAGCTTCCATAGGTACAACATCACACTCAACAACATCATGATATGATACAATAGCAAAATGAATTCGTACCAATCTCGTTACCTTGACCTTACCACTATTGTTGAGCCATCGAATGTGATATGGATGTGGGTGCGGTTTGGTTGTAAGTGCAAGCTTCTCTACCATATCGCTGCTAGCTAAGTTGTTGCAGCTACCTCCATCAATTATCAAACGGCACGAACGCTCTTTAATGACACACTTTGTTTGGAACAGTGTATGCCGCTGATTTTGCTCCGCCTTCTCCATTTGTGCGCTAAGCACACGCTGCACAATGAGGCTCTCATAATGATCTACATCCTCTGCACCAATCTGCTCTTCTGGTTGTTCCTCACTTCCTACATGGTCAGCAGCAAGCAAAGCAAGTGTATCTTCATCAAAATCACTATACTCACCATCATCTTTGACGACCATAACACGCTTGCTTGGACAGTCACGCATCACATGTCCATATACCTTGCACCGGTGACACTGAATGTCTCTTGTTCTACCTGTAGATGCCATGGATGAAGCACTCATGCAAAGAAGCTTCGGGTCGTCTTCGCCACTGAATTTGCGGAAGTAGCACGAGGTTTGTCATTTGGATGATGGCATAGGAGCACATGTAGTTGGAGTAGTAGTCGTGTGGGGCTGCCATGAGTTAGTTTTCCCTGCAGAAATATTATTCTTGGCAGCGACACGTCGCCCCACACTTCCCTTTCAGCTTTACAAGCAAGATGAAACAAACGGGTTACGTTAGTGTATTCTTTATACGCAAGGATGTCCTGAATTTCACGATTTAACCCACCCAAAAATCTTACCATAGCAGGTTCCTCATCCTCATCTAAATTACAACGCAACATACCCATTTGCAATTCTTGATAATATTCTTCTACACTTTTAGCACCCTGTCTCAATTGTTGCAATTTATTTAACAAATCACGTGCATAGTAAGAAGGAACAAATCTGGCCCTCATGATTCGTTTCAAAGCATTCCAAGTTCGTGGTATGTTATTAGTATTTCTCTTGCCATATTCTAT